TTATTAGTTTATCTATAAATATACTAATAATATTATTGATATTAATTTATCAGTAATATTATAAAAATAATAATATATAAATTTTATTTATTTATTAAAAATAAATATATATCATTTGATACATTGAAGAAAATTATAATATGCGTTAATTTGAATAGATAAATAATTGTATAATTTTAAAACATTATATATATATATATTAAAATTATTAAATTTTTAATGGGAGAGACTAAAATCATACAATTATGATATTTGAGAGACTAAAATTGTTCAATTAAAAATTGAAGAACCAAAATCACACAATTACAATTCTTTAGGGATTAAAATTACCTAATTAAAATTTTAGGGATCAAAATTGCACAATTACAATACTTGAAGAATCAAAAACGCAATTAAGCCAAAATTTTATATTGCCCGTACATGAATGATTAACTCTTAAATTAAACCAAGAATCATAAGTCCTTGGTCAATGATTTTGCCTCGATAAACTATATGCAAAGTCAAACATTATGGTAATTCAATTTCAATTACTCTCTTCCGTTCAACCAATGCACATGCAGTTCACATTCACACGGTTAATTCAACTAGTCTCTCTCCTTCATTCAATGTTTGTGTCGCTCACTCTTTCTCTCTCTCTCAAAATGAAGCACACTAACACAAATCCAACCCCACCAACCCTCTTACAAAGAAGTTACTCTCTTCTTTGCTTTGCTGTTCAGATTGTACTGTGGTGTTTCTTTTTTGGTTTTATCTCTTCTTAGTTCTCACTGCTCAGTGATTCTGAAGAACAATGAAAGTGTCATTTCGCAATCATTAATTAAGAAAAGGAGGAAGCATGTGTGTCTCCTTCCTAAACCATTAATCTGGTTTCCTATTAATTTGGTTAGCATTGTCGGTCTGCTTTTATTCTAGTCTTTCTCATAGGTAGCTGTCCCTTACAGTGCCTTCACCATATTATGCTGCTTCTATCTTCAAACTCTCTTCAATTTTATTCTCTCCTTGGCTTGTCACTTGTCGGTGAAAGATCTTCACAATGAGATTGCAACTTATTTTCCTGCTAATTAAGCTACATTTTGTTATATGTACACCCCAGTTTCATGAATATGCTGGTATGTGCTTAATTTAGATGTTCTTAGTTAGTATACTAGCATGTATGATCCATTTGAGTAGCCCCATAATTTATTAATGAATATGAAGTGTGGTTCGTTGTTCATGTAGTAATATGTAGGGCATTTGTTTGTTTGGGGAACTGTTCCCTTGTTGAAAATGAAACTATATCACAATAGTAGCTTACTAACTATAATCACAATAACTATTCTGCATATTTGTTTGCTTGGGGAACTGTTCCCTTGTTGAAAATGGTTGTGCAATCATTAATAGGACACCATGCTATGAATTGTAGAAGCAGCGAGTCTCTTACTTTTTTTGGGGGGCACCATGTCAATAATTTAGCATTTTTTACAATATATGCAAGTAATAGGCAGGAAACTAGTTCTTTTGTTATGGTTTTAGAATTGCCTAGGGAAGATAAAAAGAGTTTCAGATATATGAATCTAAATAGTCTTGGTAAGTTAGCTTTCTTAGTAACTCGCTACATCCTTGGCACAGGTTGAAGATCATGAATAGAGTAGAGACAATCGATGAAATCGATTAAAATATTATTTTTGAGTAAGATATACAGGGTAGGTGATGCATTTTCTCTCTGCTTTGAAAGGCTTTAAACAAGCAATGCAGTCGAAGTACTTTCACAAAACTAGCCCCATTATTCACAAAAGTTAGAGCCAGCTGGGCAATTTTATTATACCAACTTAGTTAATAGTTTATATTTATAACTTCCTCTCCACAATGTTCAAACTCACAATTATCCAAATTTAAATTTAAATTCTGTAGCCACCAATCTGCACCGTTGGAGAATCAGAGGCCCTTCAAGCATTGCATTCCCACCATTAGAGTCATCTTCTGGAGTTCCTGCTAGTATTGGACTTCCACCTTCCAAGGCATCTTCTAGAGTTCCTGGAAATATTCCACTTTCACCTTCCAAATCATTCTTCAAAATTCCCATAATGAAATGGATGCACAATTATGTGGACTCTCCAATATCACACCATCATAAACATAAGCATAAGCATAAGCATCACTATTCCAAAAGCAAGTCCACCAACCAAGTTCCTGGGCCAATCTTTCCAGTCCATCCTCATACTCATCAAGGTTTGATTCTCTGAAAAATAAAGTTCCTTGCACAATTTTAACATTTCTTGACTTGAACAGCCCAAAATAAATTACATTTATTCTGTAAATTTCTCTTGAAAATGAAGGTCCTCCAGTCTTCAAATCAGAACATCCATTCTCTTCACCCATGAGCTGGGATTTTCATGCACCAGCACCAGCACCAGCACCCGCAATTCTATCACACCAGTTGAATGGTATTAAACATTCATTTTGGTCATTTCCTTTACATGTTGTGTTATTATATCTTTTCTACCCTGATAGCTAACTAGATTTAACACCCCACTCTGTGGGATGCTTTATCCATCACCATCAGTGCCCTCTCCTTCACCTAGAATTTCACCTCTAGGTCCATCATTAAAGAAGACAAAGACTCCACCACCAGCATATGCTTTGGTTCTACCATCTCCACCACCTAACAAAGGTATTATTCTAGAGTCTAGAATCCTCAACTGTAAAATTTGGTTCCTTTTTTTTCAATAATCTCCGAGTTATGTGATATATGTGTATTGATCCTATTCCTACCTGACCTTTAGATTGCATGTCTTTGACTTGCTCTGAGCCCTTGACATATACACCTCCTGGATCACCTTGTGGTTGTGTATGGCCTCTTCAAGTTAAACTTCGCATCAGCATTGCAATATACAAGTTTTTTCCTTTGGTTTCCGAGCTGGCAAAAGAAATTGCAGCCAGTGTTTCGCTGAACCGTAATCAAGTACGCATCGTGGAAGCTGATGCAATAAGCCACCACCAGCTCGAGAAAACCAATGTTCTCATAAACTTGGTACCCCAAGGAGTGAAATTTGATGAAACAACAGCATTTTTAATATATAAGAAATTCTGGCAAAGAGAGATTCTCAATGATGCTTCTGCCTTTGGTGCCTATGAAGTACTCTATGTTCATTATCCAGGTTAGATATTAACATTAGTTTCTTAAGCTCATTTGTGTTTGTGCTAATGAAGTCAATAAGTATAGTATATTTGGTTTCATTTATCCTTTTGTATAACACACGCAGGTCTTCCACCATCGCCTCCTTCAAATGTTTATGGTATAGATGCTGAACCGGACCCTGGTCGTGGCAACAATGGAACAATGGTGAAACCTTTTGGAGTAGATGTCTCAAGGAAGAAAAAAGAAGAGAATGGTGGAAGGGTGGTTATTATGATCGTGCTAACATCCTTTACTGTCTTTGTTCTATTCATGGGAGTTGCCTGGCTTTGTCTCTTGAAATGCAGTTTCTGTAATCTTGAACCTGAACAAGTTCCAGATGTTCAAATTCCATCTTCTTCGAAACAATCAGGTAACTTAAAAGTACTGATTCTGTCAAAATCTTGATGGTACTTTAGATACAGTTGTAGGGAAGCTTTTGCTTTGAAAATCTACATCTTAGCTATGTATTTGAGAGTCTTCATCTTCAAGTACAAGTAGTTGCACATGAAATTCACTAAAAATATAAAACTGAATATGTTCAAAGCAGGGACTGCCAGTACTAGGTCATTGACTTATGGGAGCATGCCGGGTTCTAGATCAATGTCCTTCAGTTCTGGAACAATAATGTACACAGGATCAGCTAAAATATTCACTTTGAATGAAATAGAGAAAGCAACAAATAACTTCAATTCTTCAAGAATATTAGGAGAAGGTGGCTTCGGTCTTGTTTATAAAGGTGGCCTACAAGATGGCAGGGATGTGGCAGTGAAGATTCTCAAAAGAGATGACCAGCATGGTGACCGTCAATTCTTTGCAGAAGCCGATATGCTTAGTCGCTTGCACCATAGAAATTTAGTTAAATTGATAGGTGTATGCACAGAGAAACAGACTCGCTGCCTAGTCTATGAGCTTGTCCCTAATGGCAGTGTGGAATCTCACTTACATGGTAAGCATTAAGCAAAGTCACTGATGATGAAAGTCATAAACACTTATGGCAGCCAATTCACAAGAGTTTTAACTTTTGAAAGCTCTAACTTGTTCCTAGGTGCTGACAAGGAAATTGAGCCACTTGATTGGGATTCCCGGATGAAGATTGCACTTGGTGCAGCTAGGGGTTTGGCTTATCTGCATGAAGATTGTAATCCATGTGTCATACATAGGGACTTCAAATCCAGCAACATCTTATTGGAATATGATTTTACACCCAAAGTTTCAGATTTTGGATTAGCTAGAACAGCACTGAACGAGGGAAGAAAGCACATCCCAACTCATGTTATTGGAACATTTGGGTAACAATCCCTTCCTAGACCTTTTATATTGATACTTAATGCTTTTATGCATCACAACAACTTTCTAAAAAATATTATTCGAGATATAAATATAAAAAAAACAGATGTATCACTTTTGTGCATTTCCTCAACATGAAAACTGATTTTGTTTCGCTGACATCTTATTTTGCAGCTACCTTGCTCCTGAATATGCAATGACTGGCCATCTTCTTGTCAAAAGTGATGTCTACAGCTATGGAGTTGTACTCCTTGAGCTCCTAACTGGAAGAAAGCCAGTGGATTTGTCACAGCCAACAGGTCAAGAAAACCTTGTTGCATGGGCTCGTCCATTCCTTACAAGTAAGGGGGGTTTGCAGAAGATCATAGACCCAGTTATAAAGCCTAGTGTTTCTGATGATACCATGGTAAAAGTAGCAGCGATTGCATCCATGTGTGTGCAACCAGAAGCCCCTCAACGTCCTTTCATGGGTGAAGTTGTTCAGGCCTTGAAGCTGGTATGCAGTGAGTTTGAGGAAACAAGTTATGTGAGACCAAAAGGTTCTCTAGGAGATGGTCTTGTAACTAATGTAGAAGGGAAATTCTCCAGTGTTCTTGGTGAAAGAGTGGACTTTTCTGAGTGTAACAAACCCCTGCCTCAGCCTGGTTATCAACCTAGTCGAGAACCCAGGTAGAATTATCATCATAAGAGATGTTCAGTACGTTGGGCAAGAAATTTGAGTCGTTCAGGATGTTTTTGAAGAGTGAGCATGATATTTTAATTAAATAATGTCCTGGATCCCATTAAGCTTTTGCCATAGCCAGAATGGAAATTCTATTGACAAGGCAAATATATTTATTGTTACTCATTAGCAAAGGATTGCAAGTTGGTGTCAAAGACTCAACCTTCCGGAGAAAAACGAGTAAAACCTGTCCTTGAAATTGTTTGAATTATTTTATGATATTTATGCGAGGTTACATAATTTCATAACAGTGAGATATTATCCATTACATTTTGATTATCATTTCAAAAGACTCATATATGTGTATTTTATATATTTTTCTTTTTTTCTTTTATTTTATCGATTTGAAATCTTGTCAGTATCCTAACAGAAATGAAGTAATATGTTCTTGTTAATTGTTACGTTAGAGTAGAAAAATTTATGATCTATTGTTTCTTCGGCAGTTGAAGAAAAAATTTGACATCAAACTGGTGCAAAGCAGAAACAGTATAGGTAATAGTACAGTAATCACTCGACGAAATGAAGAGAAACGTGAGTATTTCTGTAATCTTTATTCAAATGTTCATAAAGGTGAGTAATCAAAAATATATTTTATCCTTGCAAAAATATCACTTAATTTTCTATTTTAAAAATTTTGAAGGCAAACCAACAAGCAATGTTGTATTTTTTCACACCCAACTGTACTTTAAGATGATGGAAAAACTTCTCCTTATACAGTAAGATCTTTTACATGTCCAAATATTTTAAAAAGAAATAATTTTATTTCTTTGCTCAATATATATATGATGGGAGTTATTTTTATGGTATTTGTCTGAGAGGATATTATTACACAAACATACTCCACAATGATGAGATATTATCAGCTTTGGGACTTAGCCCTCACGGTTTTGCTTTTTGGTCATCACCCAAAAGGCCTCTCAATCATTGAAGTATGTTTGTATTATATAAGTTGTTATTTGTTGTATTATTTTATCGATGTGGGACTTGTTTGAATCCCAACAATCCTCCTCTCAAGCAAGGGACCTAACCTTTCATGCAGCGGTGCGGCTCTGATATCAGAGATGAGGTTATTTTTATGAGATATTGTCCGCTTTGGGCCTTAGCCCTCGCGGTTTTGCTTTTGGTCATCATCCAAAAGGCCTCTCAATCATTGAAGTATGTTTGTATTATATAAGTTGTTATTTGTTGTATTATTTTATCGATGTGAGACTTGTTTGAATCCCAACATATATATATAGTAAAACTAAAATACAAAATTTGAATACTATAATCTTTCTAAAAAATTGAAACAAGTCCCTAAAAGATATTAAAGGGTGTATTGGATTAGGATTATAAAAGACAATAATTTTAGCATGAAAAAATCTTATGAATTTTAAAAGATTTTGTAAAAATGTTATGACTTTTTAAGAAATTTTTTGAAAGACTTTTAAGGGAATTTTAATCGAGACTTCATAATTTAGATTTTAATAGATTTTGATGAATTTATATCATAAGATTTTAAACGATTTTATAGATTTTATGGGAAAATGTGGATTAATACTATAAGATTTAATTAAAAATATATATAACATAAATAATAAAGAAAAGTAAAATCAACACAATTTTTTCTATATTTTGATAAATAATTATCTTTATCTTTTGATAAATAATTGAATTTAATGTCTTTCTAACTAACATTTTTTCATATTTATAAAGTTATATTAATCTTTCATACACTTAAGTATGAATAATATGTTTAAAGTTTCTTCATTAACTGGTTGCATTAAAGATGAAGATTCATTCATTAATTTAATTAAAAATTTATCTAAACGATATTTTTTGCGAAAAAAATTACGTAGTGCTACATATTAACACAAGTTTAATTTGTATCTTAAATAAAAATAGAGATCTTGACTTAAAAATTGTAAAAATATGATTTAAAAATATTAAATATTCACTTGATCATATTTATTAAGGATGTATGACGTAAATTGAAAGCTTTATTTTTATTATAAAGGTTATTATCATAACCTTCAAAATTATTTTTAATATATGTTTCAATATTAAATTTTATTAAAAATAAATAGTTAAATTTTAACAATTTAAATTTTTTAACAATGAATAGTATTTAATAATACAAAAATCATTTCAAATATTTAATAATGAAAAAATATTAATAAATTATACATCAATTGATAGATAAAAAAAAGATAGGAAAAGAAGAAGAAAAGATAAATAAGAGATGAATAAAAAGAGAAAAAGAAAAGAGAGAGAGAGAGAAAATATGATAAGAAGAAAAGAAGAGAAAAAAAAACAAGAATGGCCAGAGGGGAGACAAAGAAAAAAAAAAGAACATGAGAGAGAAATAAGAAAGGCGGAAGAAAAGATTTAAGAAAAAAAATAGAAATAGAAAAAAAAATAAAGTTATGCAAAATCTCAAAAATTTTAGTAAAATTCTTTAATGAATAAATTATATGTAAATTATATTAAAAAATCTTACAAAATTTAATATTTAAAATAATCTATTAAAATCTCTATATTTTTAAATACTAATAAAAAATTTTAACAAAAAATCTTAATTAAATACCACTAGGTTTTAATAGATTCTTAAAATATCTTAATTATCTTAATTGAATTACACTAGATTTTAACGAACTCTTAAAAAAAATTATTATCTTGATTGAATACTATATTACTTTTTTATTTTAATTTTTTCTTTGATTAGATACTACAACTTTTTATAATGAAAAATCTTTTAAAATTCTAATCTAATAGATCTTACAAAATAAATTAATAAAAATCTATAAATTTAAATAATATCATAAAAATTATAAATTCTTAAAATAACTCCTTAAATCTTTACTCACTTAATTTATCCAAAATTTAAATTTTCTCAAACGTGTAGTTCAGCAATAGGAGTTGATCTACCCTTAAGCAAGGTCAGGGGTTTGAATCCTGTCTTGTGTATGTAGCCGCGTTAAATCTTGGAGCCAACTATCCCACTCTTTGAGGTATCTCTAAGGAAGGAAAAACAAAAAAATACCTCCTTGAGGGGTTGCAACAATTTTTATTTCTAAAAACCCAAAACTTTCTCGATAATTTAATAATCACTCTTCCCAGTTCACTCAATTAACAAATAAAATACAACAATTTCCAGTCCTACATGCTACAACCAATAGTTCTTGTCTTCCAAGTGCACCCCTTTTCTCCATTTCTCTTGGGACAATTTTCATATTACGTACTCATCCTTAAATACCGGCCTTATTCCCCAACCTATTCTGTAAAATCTTCAGTGCCGTGTACCTGTGACAAAACATAAATATATCATTAGCATGCAAAAGCTGAAGATTATTATTCAATGGTAATTTGGCAGCCTAACTTGTATAATGACAAAGTTAATAAAAAAATGTTTAGTGGGTGTTATGTTGTCTATGTACATACCTGCCCATCATCATGACAGTAGCCTGAGGATTAGTTCCTGGAGACTCAGTAAATGTTGAGCCATCTACTATGCGGAGTCCGTCAACACCAAGAACTTTATGCTCAGAGTTCACTACCTGCTCCACACGGCACCCACCATAGTAGTGCCAAATAGTGGTCACAGAGTCTCGACAATACTGCTCTAGTGACTTTGTGTTATTGGGTTGCTTGGGAATGAAGTTGATATTAGCCTTCAGACCGAGCTCAAGCATTTTATCTGCATTTTGTCTTTCACTCGAAGTGTAGTTTGTGATATGCTCTGATTGGCCAACCTTTATTACCAAGCGAACCCCATCCACACAGCGCTTAAGATCATCAGGGTGCCTTAAGTAGTTGAAGGTGACAGTAGGGTTGTCCTCCACGTTCGTGTTTACCAACCTGAGCTCACCTGTTGACATAGGGTAGGCAACTTTTGACAATATGAAACCTCCCATGAATTCTTCATATGGTACGTCTTTGTTGCTATTCACAATAGGTTCTACACCTTCTCCTGGTCTTTGCTTTGGTGGAGTTGTGGACGGCTGTTCTTCCTGGTGTATCATGTAAATGGAAAAAATGATTGTGTGTGGACATTGCTAACTAGTTGCTAATTTACTATGATCATGTTTTATGTTTAGCATTGCTCTAGGGACCTTGTGATTATACATGCAATTTAAGATCAATTTCTAGTTAGTTGCCCAGTGTTTTTTGGTTATGATTAAGTTATTAAGCTAAATGCAAATTAGATTCTGAGAGTTATAGATGATGGCTACACAGAACTAGAGCTGCACTAAGCAATTACTCTAAGAAAGGTAGAAATTGGATAATTCATTTCATGCCTTAACAGTACAATTTCAGAAAGCTAAAAAGAGAATTGAAAAACGGTCTAAACATCTTACTCAATTGTTAAGCATTCCAACGTGCTATAACATCACTTGCACCCAGAATAAGTAAATTTAGCGAATAGATTGCATACCTCAGCTGACGAGGTACCATGGCGGTAGTGAATGCTGTCTCTGGTCTGGCCATACCCACTAGTAGCCTCAATGTACACACCAAATTTTGTTATACCAGCAACTTCTATGAGTGACTGCTCAACTGGTCTCTTGAAGGGAATAAGAATTGTGTTCATGGGGCTATCAGCCATGCCTTTCCCAACAAATTGGTTGTCAAGCACCACAGGGATGTTCAATTTCTGAAGATCAGATTTGGGGCCAATTCCACTGATCATTAGCAATTGAGGACTCCCAATAGCCCCACTAGACACAATCACCTCACTCTGACTGTAAGTTCCAAGAAATGCCTCATGCTGCTTCCCATTTTCATCCTTGAAAATAACCCCCTTAGCTTTTGGTGCTTTTCCTACAACCATATCATCACCATTTTTCATTCATGTGATTGTAACTTGTAAGCCACTGGCAATGGCCCCCAATTTGGGAATAACTATCTTTTAATGCAACTTTTTTATATACTACTAGAGATGTTCTTATTGGAAATCACTGAGGTCACTCTATTAGTAGATCTAAATTCTAACTTTAAATATAAAAATTATCACAAAAAAAATAATTCTATTCAAATGCACACTGATTCTCCATCATATAAATTAAACTTATTTTGTATAATGAATCAAGTATATCTAAGATCATTTATTAAAATAATCACTGAAAAAAAATTAAATTCAAACTCAAACTAACCCTCCAACATAAAATTTCACATGAAAGCATACACTCCCATGGCCATCAAGTAGACCAATTTGATTAAAAAGATCTTTCTTATATATATGTACCTGTTGTATCAAAAACAATCTTTTGGACAGTGGCATGGGTCAAAACAGTAAGTTTGCTCGGATTCGCAGAAGCAAGTAGTTCAGCAGCTGAGTGGCGACGGCCAGAGCTGTCATAAGTGGTTCCACCAACTTTGGTTCCATACAAATGCTCATATGTGAAGCCATTAAAAGGAGACACTCCAGCATCTAGAAGCGCGTCCTTAACTGCTCTCTGCCAACCTGAAAACTTTGGCCAGTGAACAAGCTGCTTCTCAATCCAAAGATATGACTCGTTCATTAGCTTTGTGTCCCACCCCCGTGACTCCAATTTTCTTATAAATCTGCATTATAGTATAGAAAATGTAAATTAAGGATGGTCATACACTAGCGTTTACAAGCAGCAGATCGTATGATATTGTATATTTTAACCTTAAATCCTTGTGAATTTATTTTTTTTACATCATCCAAAAGCCAAAAGTTCTCATATTCTATTAATATGAAAACTTTGGCAACTGAGATTCACATTTTTACGTTGGTATAATATTTTCTACTTTAAATTTAATTTTTTATAAATTTAATTTTTTATCATTATTTAAAAAATTTCATATTAATAGAGATTTTGTATTTACTTATAAATTCATATTTATCCTTTTAATTCAATAATGTAAGACTTTGTATTTTAAAAAACAGTTTATAAAATATGAGATTTTATTTATATCCCAACAAAACATACATCAATACTATAAAGAGTTTTATACTATCAATTAATCAAGCACTACTTTTATATGACTTTTTATTAATTTATTACAAAATTAATAATTTATGGGGTTTTTTGATTCATCCATAATGTAAAACTATTATGACAATTCATCTCTTATTTTCTCATTAAAGAAATAAATGTTTTTGAGGAACATCACTAGTTCTATATTATTTTATAACTTCAAATATGCGTAACACTCATAATTTCAATATACAGCAAACACTCATAATTTGAATGCATTCTGGTCACAAAATGAGTGGAAACAGAGTAATTGTGATTCGCAACATGTGAAGGTAGCTATCGGGAAAAACTAAGTTGTACGTCAACTAGAGATTAGGTAATTAAATAATATATAAGTGGAAAGCAATCCTCACTTTACAAACCGGTTTTGTAGGGTTGAGTTAGACTTAATCTACTATCCTATACTAGAGCCATTTAGATCCACTTTAAATAAGCCACCCACCCAATGACGGATCTACTTAGTGGCTTGTGGGGGCAGTTGCCCCCACTAACTTTTGAGTTATTATTTTTTTATAATATATAATATTATATTATTTCTATTTGAAATCTAAAAATAGAAAAAAAAAATAAAAAAAGTTACAAAATTAAAATTGAATTTAAATTTTATTGTAATTATTTTTGTGTGAGAAGAAAGATTTTAAAAAAATATTTTAATATGTTATAAAAATTAACAACAAATTACATATTTTAAAAAAAGAAAAAAAGTTGTTATGCATTTAAATTGTAAATCAAGATAAAAAAATTATAAATTAATAATGTATGTATTTTAAGTAAAAAAAATCATAAGTTGTTATTAATTTCTTTTTGGATATTTTATATCTTTTTCCTATTTTATTTTTACTTTTTCAATTCTATTCATATTTTGAAGTTCCTCTCTACCTCTAACGTATTTTAAAGTGTAGAAGAGTGAAATTGAAAAAAAAAAATTCTTCTTCCATCTCTACTCCTTCATGTTTCAATAACTAAACTATATATTTAAAGTGATATTTGAGGTCAGTGTATTTAAAGTTTTATTTTTATATTACTTTATTTAAAGTGATGTGCTTGAAATAGTTGAGGAAGATGACATAAGTTTAGCGCAAAAAGGTGAAGCATGCGCTTTATTGAATTCTATGCAAAATTTTGAATTTGTTTTCACCTTGCACTTGATGAAAAATATTTTAGGAATTACTCATGAGTTATCTCAAGCATTGCAAAAAAGTGATCAAGATATTATAAATGCTATGAAATTAGTTTCAGTGTCCAAACAAAGATTACAAGCAATGAGAGATGATGTTGGTCTTCTTTGCTCAATAATGTTTCATCATTTTGTGAAAAACATAACATTGTGGTTCTAAATATAAATGACACTTTTTAAACACAAGGAAGGTCAAGGCGTAGGGTATAACAAGTTACTAATCTACATCATTTTCAAATTAATTATTTTTTCAAGTGATTGATTAACAACTTCAAGAGTTAAACAACTATTTCACAGAAGCAAATATTGAGTTGCTTCTTTGTGTAACATGTTTAAATTCAAGAAATTCATTTTTTTCATTTGACAAGAAGAAGTTGATTCATTTTGCTAATTTTATTCTTCTGAATTTTCTCCGGTTGAACTTTTGGCATTAAATAACCAACTTGAAAATTATTTCATGGATGTATGTTTTGATAGTGTTTTTTCAAAATTAGAAGGGATTGATGATCTTTCTATGAAGCTTGTGGAGATAAGAAAACATGTTGTATCCATTGTAGTATTTGCTTTTAGAACTAACCTTGATACTACTAGTGACAACTACATTAGTTGAAAGAGTTTTTTCTACTATAAATATCATCAAGAATTGGATGCGAAATCGTATGGGAGATGAATGATTAAATGATTGTTTAGTTACTTATAGAGAGAGAGATTTTTAATAATATTGAAAATGAGCAAATCATTCAATATTTTTAAATTATGAAAACTCGTAGAGAACAATTATGATATATATTTTTCTTTATAAAAATTTTATTTTATATTTAGACAAATATATGTATTTAAATATTGCCCCACTACTTAAAATTTCTGGATCCGTCACTGCACCCACCATTGATACATGCCTCATAGGCATGAGGGGGTGTATTGAGAAAAATTCAAGTCCCGCCAATCCTAGATCATTAAAAAGTCTAAATTAGATAATTAAATAGTATATAAGTGCAAAGCAACACTCACCTTACAAGTCAATTTTGTAGGGTTGAGTTAGATTTAATCCACTATTCTAAGAGTAGGTTTTCCAAGGGTTGTAAAGGAACAAGGATCGAACGAGCACCTCAACTAAATGATTTTACCAAAAAACAAAACTACATTACCCAAAATCAAATTCAATGACTATAGCGTGTGCGTGTGCGTGTGTTTCCTTTTCCTGAGATCCGACACTCTCACCTAACCACTTTCATGACATATAATAAGGTTAGGAAGGAACCCACCCAGAGCATTTAAGTGAGATGAAATGGCAATTTCATGAGAATATATCACCCATTCATAAATATCGTCTCTATAACTTGATTAGTAGTATTTACAACAACAAAAAAATTCTATAACTATCATTTTTACGTGTTTCTCTCCATAATAAATGAAACACGTCATGTCATACTTTTTTTTTTTAGCATTACACTAAATTGACAGGATCCTTAGATTACTTCAGCTTCCATCATATTTAGAATTAGATTTGCCCAGATAGACCCAAACTCCTTTAGTCCTATTTAATTGCCAACTTAATTTTTCAATAGAAAAATTTAGATAATTGATTTTTTAATCAAAATTAGAGTTTAGTAAATAATATCTTTAAATATTAAATTGTACTATTTTAATAAAACTTTAAACTTTATTAGAAAATGACTTTAATAAAATAAAATATATGATATTACATTTAAATTTTATCTTTTTCTAAAATTATCGTCGGACTACAAATGAAGGTAGTAAATAATTCATAAAAGTTTTATTTTTAAATTTTGTTGTTGTGGTTGAAAAATAAAACATAAAACAACTTAGTATTCTTTTAAGAAAAAAAATAAAAGCTAATAAAAAGTGGAAGTGGAGGTGTACTCTGGGTTTGCTCTAGTGTAGAAGCCAGCGTTGATGGAAGTTCCACCTCCCAAAATTTTAGCCCTTCCATTGATGACTCCGTCTGTTGAAATGAAGTTATGACAAACCGTTTTGTCTAACAATCCAATGTGAAAGTTTGACTTAAAGGTCACATTGGGATTGTTGAAAGGGACTCCTCCTCTCTCAAGCAGCAGCACATTGTACTTCTCAGAGAGGGTTGCAGCCAATGCACACCCTGCTGCCCCTCCTCCCACTATTATATAGTCATAATCACCCTTTCCCCATGAACTTGCGCTTTTGATAAATGAGTATTCTTCTTTTGCATATCGACCCTCAGAAAGGCCTACATACTTGAGGAGGCATACAACTAACAAGACACACAATTTTAGTGCTCCAATGGACGCCATTGTGTCTGTCACAGAATTTAACTGCCCTGTGCAGTGTCCATCCTACAAATACATTCTATCCCTATTCCCTACCACAATTCTCTCAATTCTTCTTTGCTTTTTAGCTTCACGTTTCAGTGGAGGGGGAGACAAAACCGCAGAATCACACTCTTCAACTTTCTTTGGAAGTGAGGAAATATCGTACAACTACTTCAAATTTTGGTGGAATTAATACAAGAGCAAAAAAAATCAAAACTTTCAAGCTAAAAATATTGGATTTTTGCGGAATTTACTGTGTAAAAATATATATGGATTTTAAAATTAATTATTATAATGAAAATAAATAAATTTAACAATATATGGCTTATAGTAATATTGGACTATGGAAAATGGCTTGAAGTTTAAACCCGGTCTTGAGGAGTTGCAACAATTTTTGTTTCTAGAAAATCTAAAACTTACTCGATAATTTGATAACCACTCTTCACAGTTCACACAATTAACAAATAAAATACATCAATTTCCTGTCCTAGATGCTACAACGAATAGTTCTTCTTGTCTTTCAGGTGCACCCCTTTTCTCCATTTCTCTTGGGACAATTTTCATATTGCATACTCATCCTTAAATACCAGCCAATTTCCCCAATCTATCCCTTAAAATCTTCAGCCCCATGTACCTGTGACAAAACATAAATACATCATTAGCATGCAGAAGGAGAACATTATTATTTGATGGTAATGACAAAGTTCTATAATGTTTAGTTAGTGTTATGTTGTTTATGTACATACCTGCCCATCATCATGACAGTAGCTTGAGGATTAGTTCCTGGAGACTCAGTGAATGTTGAGCCATCTACCACACGGAGTCTGTCAACACCAAGAACTTTATGCTCAGAGTTTACAACCTTCCCCACATGACACCCACCATGGTAGTGCCAAATAGTGATCACAGAGTCTCTACAAAACTGCTCTAGTGATTTTGTGTCATTAGGGTGCTTGGGAATGAGGTTCACATTAGCCTTCACACTGATGTTAAGCATTTTCTCTGCATTTTCTTTGTCACACAAAGTGTAGTTGGTGACATGCTCTGACTGGACAACCTTTATTGCCAAGCGAATCCCCTCCACACAGCGCTTAAGATCATAAGGGTGACTGAAGTAGTTGAAGGTGACAGCAGGGTTGTCCTCCACGTTGGTGTTTTTCAACTTGAGTTCACCTGTTGACCATGGATCGGCAACTTTTGACAAAATGAACCCTCCCTTGAATGCTTCAACTGGTATGTCTCTCTTGCTCTTCACAAAAGCCTCTACAGCTTCTCGTGATCTTTGCTTTGGTGGAATAGTGGACAGCTGTCCAATCTGGTTTATCATGTAAAAAGAAAAAATGATTTCTGATGGATATTGCTAACTAGTTGCTAATTTTCTATGCAAACTTTGGGATCGTGTTTTATGTTTAGCATTGCTCTAGGGACCTTCTTGTTATACATGCAATTTAAGATCAATTTCTAGTTAGTTAGCAGAGCGTTTTTTGGTCATGATTAATTTATTAAGCTAAATGCAATTTAGATCCTAAGAGCATCTTTATTCTTTAGTATCTATCTGTAGTAGGAGTTACTTAAAATTAAGCTACTGCTACATCGTGAATTACAGGGTTAAAGTTATCAATGTAGAAGGAAGAGAATATTGCATTAAAAAGAGAAAGTTGCTAATAAAAGCGATTGTTATATGTCAGAAAATGAGACTTAAGACATATATATAAACATCAAGTAAGAGAAAGCCATGCACCTCAATTTTTACTATATGTATGAGATAATGACTTGCAATAAGACTCAATTGTTAAGCATTTCAATGTGCTATAATATTATTTGCACCAAAAGTAAATTTAGCGAATATATTGCATACCTCAGCTGACATGATACCATGGTGGCAGTGAATGCTGTCTTTGGACTGGCCAAACCCACTACTAGTCTCGATGTACACACCCAAATTGGTTATACCAACAGTTTCTATGAGCGACTGCTGAACTGGTCTCTTAGAAGGAATGAAAATTGTGTTCATGGGGTTATCAGCCATGCCTTTCCCAACAAATTGGTTGTCAAGCACCACAGGGATGTTCAATTTCTGAAGATCAGATTTGGGGCCAATTCCACTGAGCAATAGCAATTGAGGAGTTCCAATTGCCCCACTAGACACAATCACCTCACTCTGCCTGTCAGTTCCAAGAAATGCCTCATGCTGCTTCCCATTTTCATCCTTGAAAATAACCCCCTTAGCTTTTGGTCTTTTACCTGCAAAAGTATCATCACCATTTTTTTCTCATGGGATTGTAACTTGTAAGCTACTTGCAATGGTTTGAGAACAATTTTTTTTTATTGTTATCTTTTTATTTAGTACCATAGATGCTACTAGTAGAATAAAAAATGCTAGTGATGCTCTCTAACATTTTTTTACTAATACTCTTTATTATTGGTTGAAAATCACAGGTTTTTGTAGGTCCTACTGTTAAATCAGGAGACTTATTAAATGAAATTCAAGACTTGCAAGATCACAGGTTTTTGTAGGTCCTACCGTTAAATCACGACACTTATTAAATGAAATTCATTGCAAAATTTGTGATTTCCAATAAACTTCGGTCAATAATAAAGAGTATACTCCTTATCTATACATAAAAGTTCACAAGAAAGGATATACTCCCATGACCATCAAGCAGACAAATTTGATTGTAAAAGATGTTTCTTATATATACATACCTGTTGTATCAAAAACAATCTTTTGGACAGTGGCATGGATCAAAACAGTAAGTTTGCTCGGATTCGCAGAAGCAAGCAGTTCAGCAGCTGTGTGGCGACGGCCAAATCTGTCAAAAATGGTTCCACCAACTTTGGTTCCATACTTATGATCATATGTGAAGCCATTAAAAGGAGACACTCCAGCTTCTAGAAGCCCGTCCCTAACTGCTCTCTGCCAATCTGAAAACTTTGGCCGGTGAACAACCTGCTTCTCAACCCAAGGATATGACTCATTCACTAGCTTTATATCCCACCCCACCTTCCTTATAAACCTGCATTTTAGTATAGAATATGTTAGTTAAGCAAATATTCCATGTTTTAGAGGAACATGACTATTCTATGTTGTTGTTGCCTTAAACTAAGTCAATTTTAGTGAGCAATTATGGAACTTAAGATTCCTTTAATCTTTGTAAACAATACTTATATTAAGACAGAAGAAAAATATATTATTTTATCTTAAAATGACGTCACAAGATTCGAAATAAGGCTTGTTACCTTATCTTTGGACTTAAAATTTGGACAAAACTTAGGTGCAATACATAAGTCCCGTTGTGCTATTCTTCGATCAGAATGAAGGGAGGGTTGTTTTGTTACCTTGGGTTTGCTCTAGTGTAGAAGCCAGCGTTGATGGAACTTCCACCTCCCAAAACCCTTCCCCTTGCATTGAGGACTCCATCTGTTGAAATGAAGCATTGAGAAGCCGAAGTTGCTGAAGTGTCTGCCAATGTAATGTGAAAGTTCTGCAGAAATGACACATTGGGGTTGTTGAAAGGGACTCCTCCTCTCTCAAGCAACAGAACATTGAACTTCTGAGACAGGGTTGCAGCCAATGGACACCCTGCAGTGCCTCCTCCCACTATTATGTAGTCATAACCACTCTTTGGTGAAGACCCCGATGAGCTTGCTCTTCTAATAAATGGGTACCCTTCATTCCAGTTATACTTACCTGCAATCAATTTTTCATCAAAACCATAGAGGATACACATAATGTAACATTTTCTTTTCCTTATTTTGTGTAGGATGACAACAACAAAATTATAACATGTAAACCTGTACGTACTGTTTTATACTAACAAAAGGAGTAAACATTAGTGAGCAGAATTTGTTGTGTTACATTTTTTTTCTACTAATTAAGAAAAAACATCACTATATTTTTTATCATGATAAACAAAACAGAATATGTTTATATATGTACTAGGAAATGGAACATTTTGTGTATGAACCTTGAGAAATGGAGGGATAGCCGAGGAGGCATAGAAGTAAGTAGAGAGAGAATTTGAGTGCACCAATGGACGCCATTGAATCTGTCTCAGAGCTTCTTCAACCTCTAAGTGTCTGCCTCTGGTTGGCCTTGTTTAAATATTGAAAACAACATTATATCCGTACGACAACCGTGTTAATTGCTATTTATTTTATGTTGCTTCACATTTCTTTTAACAAGAAAGCTTTAAGACTTAAATTAAGGAGAGCGATGGGACAATAATGTTATTCATCAAGATCAAGCTGTTTCTTTAGAGGACTCCGTATCCCTCTTGTTCAAATTTAAATTATTGAGTTATTTTCAGTTGAATGTCAGCAGTTGACACTTACTCATTATTTTATAAATTTTAACTAATTAAAATACTAAAAAGTATGTATTAAATCTTAAACAGTATTTGTTCTTGTCCTTTTAATAAGACTCGATTAATAAATTTATCATAATTAAAAAATGTTTATTTAATTAGTAATATTAAATTTGTTCTATGTTTATATTTTTCTAAAATTATTTTTAATATTAATGAAATATATTTTTATTAATTTTAATTATTTTAATACCCATCATTGATATATTTATTGTTTTATTTTTTATCAGTAATGCATTTGAAGAATTAAAGCAATGTTCTTAAAAAGCTCTTCATAGAGAACAAAGTTAGATTTCAAAGAGTATAATTTAGTTAGTTGAATAAGGTGTGTGAGTTGTTATAGATTTTTGTTCAATTCTTATGGATTAAAAAAAACAAAATTAGATTATCAAAAATCAGTATGAGAAAAATGACTCAATTAAAGATATTTTGTACAAAAAATAAAGTATGAGACATTTTATATTAATTCTTTAAAAAAACCGATCTTTCATTAGTATAGCCACACTGGTATTTATTTTGTACGAAATTACATGTATCTTTCGCAATTAAATTAGCAATCCAGTCTCAAACTCAAAATTTCCATGTCAATTAAATCAACAATAATATAAAGTTAATAAATAAATATTACTCAATTAAAAGAAATGAAGGAAATTCAGAAAATAACAATGATACAGTAGTAGGTGCTGTAATGAAAAAAATTAAAGTGTTCGGTGCATGTTCAGAAAGGCTGAAACAATATCTGAAGAAGGCATTAATGAGGAAATGAGTTCGAAGGTTTGGATTCAACATCCTCTGGACACCACACAGCTCACTCACCGGCAAGAGCAATAAAAGCTCTATATTAATTAT